AAACATGTTTCCAGAACGATCAAAACTCAAACTAAATGGATAACTCATTTGATTAGAATGTGAACCCATTCCATCACATCCAACTAAACATCGAAAACCATTCAAGTCTGAACCAACAATTCGATCGTTGCCTATATCCGCAATGAATAAATACTTCTCAGCATTTAAAACAATTCCACTTGGACAACGAAGTGTAATTGTTGGATTTAGTGATGTACTTCCAGCTACTGTGATGCCATTTAATTCCTCTGGCTGAAACAACTGAACGCGATCGTTTCCACAGTCTGCCACATATAGATCCAAGTTGATATCTACAAAGATCCCAACAGGACGATTAAGTTCATTCGAGGCTGCTCCTCGGGTATTCGTTCCAGCAGCAACACGGTTCGAAGTCATTACAGAATCATTGAGCAATCTTCTTACTATTTGATGACGAGAAGACATTGAACAGTAAAGAGCATCATTGACATCGACAAATAAACCGTCACATTGTGAACTAACATTCATCACCGTGACAAAGATATTTGTTTCTGCTATCCATTTCTGCACTCGATCATGCTCCATACCATCATCAATATAAATATCACCATTTGATGTCACGAAGAGAGAAGAGGAATGTGTGAAGTTACCATAAATGATCTTTGTTGGATTAATACTCTCCTCATGCCATACTATAATTGTGTCCTGTTCTTGATTCGCGACATAGATAGTGTTGTTTGTATCCACAAAAATGGCACGAGGAATTCGACCAACTATCGATTGATTAGCAACAGTGATTCCATTGAAATTCCAAGTAGGTGTTGTAGAAAATTTTGGTTGATTGAATGAAAGAGCTGAAAATGAGAAAAATAGAAAGAATACTACAGGATAATTATAAAGGAAAATCAAATTGTAAATTTATACGTATGTCTGCAGTTGGCAATTAAATATATTATGATTAAAATCTTTATCGACCATGTTTATTTTCTTTCGTTTTTTTCCATTGAGACGTCTTCGTCTCCTTTTGCTGTTTATCGATTCACAGCTCTCGATCTCATTCAACTTACCAAAAGAATTTTTCATCAATAAAAATTTTTGAATTCGATGATTTAATTGATCAGTAACAAACATGTTTC